CCTGATCAGCCCCAATCAGGACTAGGTGAGACGGCCGCAATTGGCCCCAATTGCCGGCCAGCCGAGGGACCCCACCCATGCATCGTATACTGGGCCTCCAGTAAGTATATAAGTTCTTTGGTTTATCTCTCCAAACTTTTGGCCTTTTAAGACTAGGAGATAATCATTCAGATTTCAACAAGATAGGCCTCATTTAATCACCCTGAGTTTACCTAATGCACAGCCACCCAGGTCTCCTGAGGCCACTGCCTTGGGGCCAGAGTCTTTGGCAGGTCTTTTCGTCCATCCCCCTGCTTTTAGACCATTGTCCCTAAAAGCTGCCACAGCTTGCTCCCTGCCTTTGAAGTATGCCTTTCTCTAGGAACTAGTTCATCTGGGCTTCATATCATCCATTTCTTCAAAATTTCCTTAGGTTAATGTGGTTGTTTTTTCTTGTGATTACCAAGTGAGTCTTTTGCATCCTTTTATAACTCCCAGTGCCTCCACATTCCACATAAAGGCTACCAGCCCTCTCATGATTTTGGCAAATGCCTCATTCATCTATACCCTGGAGCTTAAAGAATTCATGCTGAATTTATCTCATTTCCCCTTATGTGGCATCTGCTGGTCTCTACATAGCATTGTTCTGCCACCTCAACTTTCTGCTTCTGTCACCTGGCTAATCCTTTTTTTTTATAGAGTGGAAGGGAGTGGAGAGGGGAAGAGAAAGAGAAACATCGATGTGAGGGAAACACATCAACCAGTTGCCTCCTGCACACAAGTGATGAGAGCCCTTACCTGGGAATTGAACCTGTGACCCTTCAGTTCAAGGGCCGATGCTCTAACCACTTAGCAACACTGGCCAGGGCTCCTTTTCATTCTTTTGGACTCAATATTGTCATTTATTTATTCCTGGGAGTCTTCAGCCTCCTTTAGCCTCTCAAATCTGTGTTGATGCCTTTCTAATGTCATATGTGGAAACCATTATTTAAATGCCTAGTTACTTTTCTGTTTTCTGCCTAAATTAAGAATTATTTGAAGGCAGTGCCAGTGTCTTGTTTCCTAGCATAGGACTCATTTTTTTATAAGGTGCAATGAATAACTGAATAAACAAATGTAGATCACTGAGCACTGATCTTTACATAACTAACATTGACCAGTGTACTATTCTGTTGTTAATAGCACTTTTACTAGTACAAAGATGAAGAAACATTCTTCATGAGATTGTCTCATGTCAACCTTTGATAAAATCGGCAGACTCAATGTTGAATCTGTTTTCTTGTATTGCTTAGACCAGCGGTTCTCAACCTGTGGGTCACAACCCCTTGGGGGTCGAACGACCCTTTCACAGGGGTCGCCTAAGACCATCAGAAAACACATATATAATTACATATTGTTTGTGATTAATCACTATGCTTTAATTATGTTCAATTTATAACAATGAAAATACATCCTGCATATCAGATATTTACATTACGATTCATAACAGTAGCAACATTACAGTTATGAAGTAGCAACGGAAATAATTTTATGGTTGGGGGTCACCACAACATGAGGAACTGTATTAAAGGGTCGAGGCATTAGGAAGGTTGAGAACCACTGGCTTAGACTTTTCCAATGGTCTAGTTGAAAAACCAACATCTACCTCCCTCCCTCCCTCCCTCCCTCCCTTCCTTCCTTTCTCTCTCTCTCTCTCTCTCTCCCTTTCTTTCTTTCTTTCTTTCTTTCTTTCTTTCTTCCTCACTCGCTCCCTCTGAACCAGAGGGAGAGGTGTCCTTCAAGCTTAAATGACATAATTTCGTCACAAGAGACCACGCGTAGCTGTGAAGAGAGCAGGGCTGAGTCGTCTACTCGCTGATTTACCCGATGCGGGGTCTGGATCACGCTGCGCACTGCG